ACCAAGATTTTGAGGTGAGACCTGGCGTAACTACCAGTTGTTGAGGTCGATGACCCCCCTGTTTCTATGTTATTAAATCAGTCTCCATAAAATACGTCCCCCCCCCCTTACACCCCCCCCCCACCAAATCCAAACTTCTCGTGTGAGGGTAGCAAAAAAGTCCAAGTCTCACCAACAGCAAGTGTGTGAACTATTCCATTTGGGATCACCCCGTGAACGTCTATGCTCAGGACTTGTGTCCAGGTAATATTTACTGGGTGGTTGGTGGGTGTTCTGGTGTGTTGCTCCTTCTTTTAGATGAAACATCTATCGTCCTTATCTCCCCTCCTTCTATTTTGTGTTTGTTACTCTCTTGTAACACTTCTAATCTTCAGCACTTAAATGACCTTACTGTGTTGCAAGTGCCGTAAAACTCTTCCTAAAACAATAAAACAATGCTGGACTATCACTGCTGAGAATATCTTGGAAGGAAAAGAGATCAAATGATGTAGTACTTGAAGAAGCCGACGTGGGCCGCTCGCTGATAACAAAAGCCGGATAAAGTCAAATACAGTTTTTTTGGACACCTGAAAAGACACATAAAGGCCATTGAACATATTATTATTGCTTTCATGGGAAAATTGAAGGTAAACGAGGCAAGAATTGTCTCTGAGCAACCTACGTGGAGAGCCTAAACAGACTGGTGACAGGGAAAGATCGGGGCAGAATAATGTAGCTTTTTAAGAGCATCCAAGCAAAGGAATGAATGGAGAACCATGGTACCGAGATATAGCACTTGATAATGACCTATCTCGGCCTTTTTTCACGGGGCCAAGTGCTTTGCTTGAGCAGTGAAAGTACTATTTGAAATCTGAATTAGTCTAGTGCTTTTGAGTTGGCAGTCTTGTGTTGCTTTTATGTTCTTCTAAGAATATCATGTTGAACCCGTCATGTATTTACCTTTTTCATGGTCTTGATGTTTAAATTTGTATTGGATCAAAATTTGATACTTGTGTGTTTTTTCCTTTCGTCGACTTAATTTCTCTCTTCTGTCTTGTCTGTCTGTCAGTTGTCAGTCTGTCTATCTGTCTGTTTGTCTGTCTGTCTCTCTTTCTCTCTCTCTCTCTCTCTCTCTCTCTCTCTCTCTCTCTCTCTCTCTCTCTGGTTAACATGTTCTTATGCACAGTAGAATTGTAAATGGGCGGATTTATCAATGTCATGCTCATACTGTGCCGGAACAACATATGGAGGGGGGGGGGGGGAGGGGGGGGACTGCTGCTCTTTTTTCCCCACTCATCCTCCTTACTCGTCATTTTCCCTCAACTTCTTTTGTTTGTTTGTCACTCTCTTGTGAACTGCTATTTCTGGGGTGCCTTTATAGTCGAAACAGACCTTGTGCTGGTGCTGTTGAGGCTAGAGAGGTGAGCAGAGTAAGCCTGACCCCCATTTGGACTCCTCCGTTGACATTCACCCCTTGGCGCTCATATGACCTTATGCAGTCGCGAGTTCGCGAGCGCCGTAAAACCGTACTAAAACACACACAAATACCCCTCTCTCTCTCTCTCTCTCTCTCTCTCTCTCTCTCTCTCTCTCTCTCTCTCTCTCTCTCTCTCTCTCTCTCTCTCGCTCTCGCCCTCTCTCTCTCCCTCCCCCCTCCCTCCCCCCCCTCTCTCTCTCTCTCTCTCTCTCTCTGAGTGTTTTGGGGATTTTTTAGAGGGGGGGGGGGGGTACGAAATGTGTTACCTGTGCGCACTTTGCAGTTTTTTTTGTTTTTGTTTGTTTATATCTTTTCTTTCGTTTCTGTTTCTTTAATACACACAGTATTCAGACCTACCGGCGGTATTAAAAAGAAAGTAATTTTTTGTAATGGTTCACACGCAAGTGTCCAATATGTATGTCCATTTTTATTTTAAAAACAGTCCGAACAAGCATTTCTGTGGACTCCTGGAGAAGGCGACGAAGAAAAGTCGGCCCATATAATGGTATCAAGTTGCAACTCGATTAAGTTATTTAAAAAAAACCCGCAAAAAACATTTTAATTTTACTTTGGGCGTTGAGGTGTTTGTTTTTGTGTGTCGCCTCTACCCTCCGAGCACATGATGATTTAAGGCTGTGGTTAATTTAAAAAAGAAGAAGACTACCAGCTGTCGCCTACGGTACGTCAGAAATCGTTTACGTAGCATGTACAGAAGGGAAGAACGAACCATGTCCCACCGGTGTCCTTTGCTAACCGCCACCAATATCCCGAAAGATGAAAGGTGCATTTTGCGTCATTACCTGGCTGGTTACAAATTTTTCTAACGAATTAACGTTAGATTAGGGTCATCGTGCACATTCGATGTACGTGTGTGGCTTTTAAAAGTGCGTCTTTTCTCTCTCCCTTCTCCCCCTCCAACACACACACACACACACACACACGCACACACACGCACGCACACACACTCATACACACACACACACACACACACACACACACACTCACTCACTCACACACACACACACACACACACGCACGCACACACACACGCATGAACGTTTTTCTTCACTGCCATTTTTCTCCTGTTTCCTTCTTATTTTTACACTTGCTGCCATGAACAAAGGTTTAGTCCTTTCGTCGACTTAATTTCTCTCTTCTGTCTTGTCTGTCTGTCAGTTGTCAGTCTGTCTATCTGTCTGTTTGTCTGTCTGTCTCTCTCTCTCTCTCTCTCTCTCTCTCTCTCTCTCTCTCTCTCTCTCTCTCTCTCTCTCTCTCTCTCTCTCTCTCTCTCTCTCTCTCTCTCTCTCTCTGTATATCCTTACAGTATATCTGTATATGGGTGGATTTATCACTGTCATGCTCATACTGTGACGCAACAACATATGGTGGGGGGGGGGGTGAGAAGTGTTTGTTCTTTTTTACACACACAACAACTTTAAAGGATATTATCACACAAATTTTTTATGTGTGTGTGTCACACTACAGACAACTACTTCTCTCTGGGGGACGTTTATAGACAAAAAAGAATCTTTTTTCCTAGTCTTTTGCGGCTATGAGTGAAGGACAAAGAAGTCTCACCCCCTATGTGGGCGTCGCACGGAGAATTCACCTCCTGGCGCTCTTAGTATTCTATGAAAGCGGGTGATCCCTGTGCGGACAAATCGTGATATAGAGTTAACAAGAGGGCCGGTCAGACACTCGACATGCCCTCTACTACATACACTTCTTGACGGATCTGTCTGATTTGATCTCCTAATCTATATCTAAACCTATCCCACAGAACTAGGGATTATAGCCAGCAGGGGATGGAGGACGATCTCCGC